CAATGATGTACTTAGTCCAAAAATCTTAAATCCTTTCATAAATTATTTGTCTCTGCTGCTGCAGCATACATCCTATTTCAAGCACTTATCAAAACATTAGGCTTAGTCATACAGATTTTTTTAACTATGCTTCACAAAGCAGGCTATGCCCCCACTTTTTTTTTACAGTTCAGGGAGGAGGTATTCAAAATAAAATTTGTCTAATTTCATCTTCATCTCTGAACAAAATTCTGCATCAAACCTCACTCTTTCTAAATGAAAGTCAGATTTACAATAAACATAAAAATCTACCCATTCACAACCTGTCAACATCATCTGTCCCATGATCTGGTAGTAATAGCTATGTGTTTTTCGAAGTTTATAAACCCCATTTACACATTTCAGATATTTCAGCTGCGAGATTGAATCCGTAATAGGGCACTTGATTTCCAGCAGCCCCCAGGGATTGTTTTCAGAGGGATCATAGACCCTTCGATCTGGAGAGGCAGCCAGATGTGGACATGATGGGTTGATAACAATCCCGGCAGGGAAAACATTGCAATCTCCACTGTCAGCATATGCAGACGCTGCCTCTTCTTCTGTATTTATACCATGCCTCATGGCTGCAGTTTGCACAGTCTTCTTTAGTTGCCTTACTGCCAGTGATTCAAAGTCAGCCCTTCGGGCACAAACATCTTTAAATTTACTCGAAGATAGCCTCTGTGCCCTCAGATCATGCCACTTCTGAGTGTCAGACTGCTCCCTTGTTTCTTCCTCATATAAACAGGATTGTGCTTGTGAGACACTAAGCCCTTCAGCAAAGTTAAGTTCTGCCAAAGTAGGCACAAATGTATAATTGTTTTTAAGCAATGGTACACCAAAAGGCAGTGGCTCCTGTGGCCCCTCAACATTAATGTGAATTTTTGGATTATTGGTTGTGTTCTGACGTTGTTGGTATGATATAACTGAGCCATGAGCTACTCTCCCTAGTTTACTATTCACATAGTCCAAACTTTCAGTTTCTGGAACAATACTGTTTACTTGCATGTCTTCATATTGTTTGAATATGTCTCTCATAGAATCAATGATTTTGGGTGAACCAAAATGTTCTGGAATCGGATTATACAGAGTGGACCGTACTCCATCTAACCTGCGTATTTTCTTTTTTTGTGTTGCATCATTGCTCGGTGGTTTCACTTGCTGCACCAGCACCTCTTGCACCTCGCGGGGATTGATTCCTGCTGTCCTTTGAGGAACGTGCCATGTTTGTGGTAGACTTGTTTTTGACATGGCAGGAGGTACACTTTTTAAGCCCAGTTTTCTATAATGCTCAAGGAGGTAAACCAGCCCTATTGCATGGTTACAGAGCCCTGCACCTGCTTCACAGTTGCAGGAGGTACTGGTTATTTTAACTTCGGGAGTCCTTGATATCTCAACCTAAAAAAAATTAAATGGATAAATATCTGCTGTGAATGTGTGTGTGTATGTTTTAAGAATTAACTCGTATGAAAATTACATCAAGCAAAGTTCGAGCTGAGACAAAACTTAAGTATTATAAATAAGCTTACCTGTAACCTCCATGGCTCTTCATTTTTTCTCTGTGATTTGTAGCTTCGAGCTCTAACAATTACTTCTGTATCCTGAGTTTTTACTGAAAGCAAAGTGCGAATATGGAAGTTTAATACACTATAGATTTTGCACAAGAGATTTCGAATGGCGAATCGTGCAATAAACGAAAAAAAGCACCATCTAAGATGCCTAAAGAAGCATGCGTAGCGTGAAATCACACCAGTGTTGCAGTTAAATTTGAGACTGAAAGGAAACTTTTACCTTCGACATCGAAGATATACCCTTCGCAGAAGTTACTATAACCACGAGTTACCACCTTCTTCGGGATTTCTCCATCGGTCTCAAGCCATGTCTCGATAAAAGAGACGTCAAAAAACGGAACATTGCGGAGAGATTTCGACCACGCAGCAGAAAATCCACCTTCAGCCATATTGGCTAAACAAGCATGTCGTCCAGGATGACCGTCCAGCCTCGTTTTGGTGCGGCCCTCGATCCAAGATGGCGTTGCGTGATATTGGAGTATTGGCTGTGAAGCTAAAGCTTGACGTTTTTGTTAACAAAAATCACCTCACTTTCCTTTGAAGACTCAGCCCAGGTATTGGTAAAGAGTAGTCATTTCAATTCGGTTATAGGTTATATTTCATGCGTTAGATCTGAATTTTATAAAGAGGTGATATTTTTCGCATATCACGCCTATGTGTCGACCTCACTTTAACTGGCCTCAATGGGGTGTTTCATAATTTAAAAGCCTTGACTCAAACAGGTCTGGGGGAGAAAAACAGGCTACCGAAATGTCTGGCCATGACTTAAAACTTTGTGGCCAAATTCTTCAGAAAGAAAAAAAAGGCATGAAATATGTCGTCGTCTCTTCTGCTAGGATAATCAGATATCTAATTTACATATGAAAAGGATACAGGTTCAAACGAAAGAAACTGCACTTTACCTTGCCAAGTGATGATGCTCTTTTCGTGAAGAATTGAGAGCAGCGTAAATTGGGAACAAGTCGAAGATGTCCTGCTGTGCCAAAGAAAAGAAACCAAAGAGACGTTGCCGCAAGTTGCACTAATTAACGACAATGAATTGCAATGAAATACACGAACCTGTGCGTTACTGCCCCCAATGTTGACAACGTCACAACGGAGGGGTTTTAAAATGTCCACAGCTCTGTGGAAGTTTCCCTTTCAAAAAAGAAGACACAAAATTCAACCTCAAGAATTTCATTGTTCTAGTCATAGGTCCGTTAAGTGTTAAATGAAGTCAAGTTGGGAGACTGTAAAAGGAGTGGATTTAGCTTGTCAGCCTGTTCAAATGCTTCACAGAGGGCCAAACCAATCTCTCTAGATACTTCGCAATTTGTTCCTGAGCCATCCCTGAAATACAAAAGAAAAAAAAAAACAAACAAAAACAGTAGAATAGACATTATAAGGCTAAGCCATAATGATGATTGAGCTAATGTCTCAGTAGAACATGAGCCATTAATAACAAAAGTAATTGAGATGACAAATAACTTAGCGCCTGATTCCCCCGTTTTCAAGTTCCCTCCCTGCCTTGAAAACGTCTCGTATAAAAACAAAGAAGTTCAAAATAATTACATTACTAGAAACGGAAATCACCCGATTAAATACGTGAACAAACGTTAACCTGAGATTAACGAAACGTGCCTCTTTTACGATAGTTCATGAATCTTTCTGCGGTTTGAATACATCGCCGTTCTCAGTTCATTTCTTTTTTTGAGACCCTCTCACTGAAAACCTGTCACTGAAAATAACTTCACGACCACGAGCTGGAACAACCAAATCTCGTTTGCAGAAAGTGATAATAGAATTGCTGCTCACTTGTCATAGTCTCCTGTTCAGTTCCTGACAAAGCACTTGGTGATATAGTCAGTTATAAATAACTAAAACTTAGATCTACGGGTATTTTACATCGAATGAAGTGTAGTAAGTTAATCAGAATGCCACAGATCCATCAACGCTTGAGAGATAACTAAATACTCTTTTACTGACTGACAGGTTGTTGATCAGAGCGTTCTCCTACACTTTTTCCATATTACCTAACATAATCGCTAAGTGACATCAATAGATTTAGTGTTGCATCTTCCTTCTTAGCTCCCAGTGTACACATCAACATATGAACATCATTGAAAACCTGAGTTGAAAAAGTTAATAATTAAATAAAATATGTAAAAAAAATTAATTAAACAATAGTTAATGAAGGATGTGTGAGTGACCTGGGCTTTGTGTGAGGAGAGGTCTGGGTGAAAGCAATGACTTGTATTTTTCATTGTGCAAGACCACCAGGAAAAGAGAGCGATTCTCGATTGGGTATTGCAAACAAAAACCAAAGTAATCACATCAGCCAATTATAAGGAAAGAAATTAAACTATCACTAAGAACCAATGAGGACTCAAAATTAGAACTGCTCGGGGCGCGGGAAAACGCGGGGGTACCCAGTTTACCATTGGTTTAAGGTTTGCATCTGACTGGTTTAAACAGGTGTTATGGGTTTTCTAGACCAATCACCCAACAGAGTGAGGCAAAATCTAAGCAATCCCCGATTACTTTTGATACTCTTGAAAATTGAAATCAACGGTTACTATCAAATTCCAGAAGCCGGGAACTCAAACATACGCAAGGAGTTCCAGGTGATGGCAAACATCCCCTTAGGAGTAAATGAGACTGTGCGATAGACATTTCCCACTTAGCATACATGTAAAGCACAAAGAGAGAGGAAAAAAAGACGGAATGCTTGATAAGACAATTTTTTTCAAACCAGATGTATCGAGAAATAAAGGCTGTTTGGGGCTGCATCGGTGGGGGTAACGAAATAATTTGGATATATCAACAAAGTTGAAATAATAAATTGGCCACCGTAACGATTACAAAAGTTGACGTTTCGAGCGTTAGCCCTTCGTCGGAGCGAATAGAGGAATGTGGGTTGTGTGTGCTTTTAAAGGCAGAAAATGGAGCTACGTTATTGGTGGGAACATGGCAACGAGAATAAATTAGTGGAATGAAAAGCGTTCGTTGATCCCTGTGGGATTTAGACTGCCAGTTTGAAAGATGAGCTTTTGTTCAAGATTTATACGGCTTTCCGTGCTACCTAAGTGTAAGGAAAGACCGCAGATTGCCATATGTTGCTTAGAATGATTAGGTAAATTAAAATGTCTAGCGACTGGTTTCGATGTTATCTAAGTCTACCTTACAGAAAAACATGTTGCTGTTTTCTCAATATACTGCAAGGAAAAGTATCATGGAGAGGAAGAGATTCGTTTCTTCTAAGGGCGATTTAGAATGAAGTCGATCCTCAGGCTAACTCAAGTTATGTTTGGATGATATGCCATAAGCCGTGCTTTGCACCTTTGTGTCTCTTAAAATATTTATGCTTTTATCTTTGCAAATCAGCTTTTTCTTGATTTCTAACAAATATTTACTCAGCAAACTGATTCGTTTATATGCCTACAATTTAAAACTATCAAATCAAGACTGAATGAAGCCTTTTGGAAAAAGTGGTAACTAGAAATTTGTTTTTCACGAAAATGGACTTGTGAAATAGCGTAAAAAGCAATTTGAATAAACGCACGGGGTTTATTAACCCTCTTTATG